AGCATCATCATCATCATCATCATCATCATCATCATCATCATCATCATCATCATCATCATCATCATCATCATCATCATCATCATCATCATCATCATCATCATCATCATCATCATCATCATCATCATCATCATCATCATCATCAGCCAAATTTGCTTCATCATCATCAGCAGCATCAGCATCATCATTCCCATCCCTCTCCTCCTGCTCCTCCTCCTCCTCCTCCTCCTCCTCCTCCTCCTCCTCCTCCTCCTCCCCTCCCGTTCCACTTCCAGCTCCTCTTCCTCCACCTCCAGCTCCTTCTCCTCCTCCTCCTCCTCCTCCCCCTCCTCCTGCTCAGCATCATCCACCACCACCACCACCTCCACCTCCTCCCTGGGGCCCCAATGGGCAGTGGGCCTGGCGCTCACCCAGCAGAAAGGGCTCGACGCTCCCCACCCCCCTCCCCCTTCATCCTCATCCCGCTCCCAACTCGCCCGCCTCCTCGGTTCCCCTCCGTCTCCGCCTCACCCGTGACCACTTTGGCCCCAGCCGCCCACAGCGGGCCTCCCACTTGGCTCGAGCTGGCTGGGCATGCGCGCCCGAGCCGGCGCTGATGCTGCTGGTGGAGCCGCCGCGGCCCGAGAATGGCGCGGGGGGAGTGCTGCGGGGCGCGGCGGGTGCGCACGCCTCCGCAGAGCTGGGGGCGGTGTCTGCTCCCCCCTCCGAGTGGGGGGGGTATCACACACCTTCCTGCCCTGCCGCCCGACAGCTCCGACGACGCCCTCGCAAGACACAGAGCCTCCCGATGGGATGCCACAGGCCCCACCCTCGGAGCCCCCTGGCGAGGTCAGCAGGGCGCCGCCCGCGCACCGCCCACAGCTGGAAGCGCGGGCCGACAAAGCACACACGCACCCCGACAAACCAACCGTGGAAGCCATGCCCATCTGGCGAGCGACGCGACGCCACGAGCCATTCCCCCCTGAAGCCGCACCCATCTCCCCCGATCACCACCCCCCCCGCTGACTTTTGCGATACTTCTCGTCAAAGCACTGCAAAACACTCCCCTCTCCCGCCGGCAACGCTGTTGGAGCTTGGACATGTCAGTGGGGCGTGCATGTTGGTGGGGGCAGCCTGACCCTACCACAAAAGAGGAAACGTGCGATCGCCTCCGGACAGCTCTACAAGCCAAGGTGAGTTACGCACGCGAAGGGTCGAACACTTGACCAGCCACTCAAGCGCTCTAGCCCCCATGCCCTGCGCCACCCCGAAGGAACATGAAAAATCAACACCCGGAGACGGGTCGGTGCTCAAGTTGGAGGGCGAGCTGCAAGCCTCCCCCGAGCAGCACTTGCAGGTCATGGGCTTGCCAGCTACGTTTTCGACGCGGAGCCCGAGATCGGGCAGCGCATCCACGCGGCCGCGCCGGACTTGCGGGCACAGGTGCGAACCGGCCACGGCTTTTGGTTTCGGCACCCTGCGCCGCAGCGTGGCCCTGCACGAGACGGCGAACGGCATCTCGGTGCTCGCCGCATGGGTCTAGGAGGTAAGGGCCGCCCAGACTGAAGGGGCCCTGGGACACACAAATGAATAGACACAACTAACAGGATTTCCAATACTTCCACATCTTTTCTGTGATTTTGTCTTCCCCCCCACTTCCCATATTTTCCCATGTTTTCTGGGAAATCGACGATTCATTGTGTCTGTCTGTTTTTTCCCCACATGTTTCGTGGGGTTCTGGTTTTCATCCCTGCCGCGTCGCATCCGCGTGTCTCACTCACCTCCCCTCCTCCTCTTCCTCCTCCTCCTCCTCCTCCTCCTCCTCCTCCTCCTCCTCCTCCTCATCCTTCTCACACAGCGCAGCACAGCTCAGCACAGCACAGCTGAGCTCAGCACAGCACAGCTCAGCACTGCACAGAACCTCAGCACAGCACAGCTCAGCTCAGCACAGCACGACGGTCGTCCAGGGGTTGTGTCGACACAATAAGGGGTGCGCAGGGGGTGGTCCCTGAGGGCGGCGCCTATGCGGGCCATGGCGCGGGGCATAGCAGGCGTGGTACTTTCTCGACAACATAGGGGGTGCGCACGGGGTGGTCCCCGAGCGCGGCGTCCATGCGGGCCATGGCGCAGGGCATAACAGGCGTGGCGCTTTCTCGACAACATAGGGGGTGCGCACGGGGTGGTCCCCGAGCGCGGCGTCTATGCGGGCCATGGCGCAGGGCGTAACAGGCGTGGCGCTTTCTCGACACCATAAAAAGGGTGCTCAGGGGGTGGTCCCCGAGCGCGGCGTCTATGCGGGCCATGGCGCAGGGCATAGCAGGCGTGGCGCTTTCTCGGCACCATAGGGAGTGCGCGCGGGGTGGTCCCATAGGGGGTGCGCAGGGGGTGGTCCCCGAGCGCGGCGTCTATGCGGGCCATGGCGCGGGGCATAGCAGGCGTGGCATTTTCTCGAAACAATAGGGGGTGCGCAACGGGTGGTCCCCGAGCGCGGCGTCAATGCGGGCCATGGCGCAGGGCATAGCAGGCGTGGCATTTTCTCGACACCATCGGGGGTGCGCAGGGGGTGGTCCCCGAGCGCAGCGTCTATGCGGGCCATGGCGCAGGGCATAGCAGGCGTGGCGCTTTCCCGGCACCATAGGGAGTGCGCACGGGGTGGTCCCCGAGCGCGGCGTCTATGCGGGCCATGGCGCAGGGCATAACAGGCGTGGCGCTTTCCCGGCACCACAGGGAGTGCGCACGGGGTGGTCCCCGAGCGCGGCGTCTTTGCGGGCCATGGCGCAGGGCATAGCCAGCGTGGCACTTTATCGACGCCAGACGGGGTGCGCAGGGGGTGGTCCCCGAGCGCGGCGTCTATGCGGGTCATGGCGCAGGGCATGCCCGGCGTGACTCCCTCCACAGCAGGACTGCAGCATGCTGGCTCGAGTTGAACGCACAACACGTTTTGGCTTCCGCGCCGCGCCGCCGGGGTCTCTGCGCTGTTGCGGCGGAGATTCCCTTTCAACGAGATGCGTTCTCCCCCCCCTTGCCTGGCCCCCCTGGCATGACTCTCCTCTCCCCCTGCCTCCTTCCCTCCTCCTGTGCTCCTCCCTCCTCTTCTCCCTCATTTCCACCTCCTTCCCATTCTCCCTCCTTCTCCCTCCTTCTCTCTCCTCGACCTCCCCCGGCGGCCACTTTCCTTCGCCCATCGTAGACCGCTTTCCTTCGCCCATCAGAAGACAACTGGCTCCTCGAGAGCGGAATCCTCTCTCCCTCCCTCCGTCCCTCCCTTTCCTCTCCGCCCTGTCCCTTTCGCCCTCGTTCTTCCTCCCTCCCCTGGTTTCTGTCGCCCCCATCCTCCTTCCCACCCTCCCAATGCGCCCCTCCCTCCCACTCCGCCCATCCGCGTAGCAGGCGTGGCATATTCTCGTAACCTTAGGGGGTCCGCAGGTGGTGGTCTCTCAGCGTTGCCGCTATCCGAGCCGGTCGTCCAGGGCGTGGCAGGCGTGGCACTTCTTCGACACCATAAGGGGGTACGCAGGGAACGGCCGCCAACATCATTCGCACATGCTTCAATTCAGCTACAGTCAAAATCGACAGTAAGGACGCACAATATGGATGCAAGGGCCTTGGAAGGCCATGCTGGCAATTTTCGAAGGGAGCACGGCCGAACACGTAAGGATGCACGATAAGGCTGCAAGGGCACCCTTGTAACACTGCTCATCCTTACTATGCATTTTGACTGTATCCTCACCCCGCCCCTGATCCGCGGGTCGAGAGCGAGCCTCTTCCGGTCGAAGCTAAGCGGGCCGCGCACAGCTTTGATTGACAGAGGGAGGAAGGCAGAAGGAGGGACCTCACGTCACTCCAGCCGTAACATATGTAACAATAATTTAAATTTACAAAAAGGCATTCTTACAAAATGGAACTACTTTTAATACAAATCACCCAGTTTCTAAAAAATCATAAAAATATGGTAGCGCAATTTCCTCCCTGACAGACATGTCCGAGGCTGGGGCAGGCGGCCGGGGGCCGGCCACCGCGCCGCCCGTGGCCGCGGGCGGGGGCACCGCGCGCGGACGCCAGGCACTACTCGTCGCCGCCGTGGGCTCCGCAGGGCGCCGCCGTGCTCCGCAGGGGGCGCCGCCCGCACCGAGGACAGTCCGCGCAGGCGTGCGGCGGGCAGGCGGGCCGACTACCTACCAGACACCCCCAACCCAACCCGAAGACTCGAATTTGAGGAGGTTGAGGAGGAGGAGGAGGAGAAGGAGGAGGAGGAGGTGGAGGAGGAGAAGGAGGGGGAGGGGGAGGAGGAAGAGGAGGAGGAGGAGGAGGAGGAGGAAGAGGAGGAGGAAGAGGAGGAGGAGGAGGAGGGGTACGGGTTCCACATGTGTTTTTCCCATGTGCCCCGACCCCCCCCCCACTGGAGATGGAGGGCAAAGGGAGGCCTTCGGGTCGGGTTGGGGTGGTTTGGTGGGTGGTGGCGTGCGGCCGGCGCCGCTCCTGCGGAGAGCCCCGCCGCGCGCGGGCGAGCCGGCGCCTCTTGCGTGGCGGCCGCTGCAGCGAGGAGGCCCCCCGCCAGCTCGAGGGCGACATGCCAGGGAACCGAGCTCCAGACACCGACGCCTTCGTCTGGCCTCACACTGGATCTCGCACGGGAGAGCGGATCCTGGTGTACACGGGATCCTGGTGTATACATTCTCCGCCCTGTCTCCAGGCACACGGGGAAACAACCATACGCCAGACCATCCCGACGTCGCCCCCGACCCTCAACAAGGTCTTGGGGTTGAAAAAAAGCCCGCCGCTGGTAATGTATGTGCTCCACTTGCCGACGTACAGTCGTCGACCTGACCTAAGGAACGATAAACAAGAAACGAAGCCCCTTTTTACCCAAGGGGAAAGTAACGCATCAGGAACGGTAAGTAATCCATAACGCATCAGGAGCGAAACATAACGCATGCAAACCTAAGGAACGACCGAGCCCCTTTTGAAGACCAAGTGTTCCCTATTCAAGCCGCTCACTGTACCTGGTGCTCGAGAAAGCCTCGGCGGGCGCGACCGGAGAGGGCACCGGTCGTCAAGACCCCTGGTGGTGCCAGCCCGCGGGCGGCGGCAGCGTTCGAGAGAGCGTGCTCCTCCTCCTCCTCCTGCTCCTCCTCCTCCTCCTGCTCCTCCTCCTCCTCCTCCTGCTCCTCCTCATCCTACCCCGGACTCCGCGGTGCAGGGCTTCCACGAGATGGAGCTCGAGGGGCGACGGCAGACGTTTTTTGTGCAGCGTGAGGAGAAGATCGAGGCGCACTCGTCCATGGACTGGTCCGATGCGGGTGCCTGCCAGGGGTGGCAGGCCAGCGCGGCAAGGACGCAGCTTCTGAAGGATGCCAACGCGCTGCGAGGATCCCCCACAACTCGCCATCGAGTTGCAATCGTGGGCACCGATTGATTGGTCGGGCATCGGCGCCACGCTCGAAGATGGCCATGGGGAGCCGCATCAGCCCCAGGCGAGGGCCAACGGAACTGAGCAAAATGGATTGCTCGTGGTGCACAACTGTCCCTGCATGCTGACATGCATTGCCACGCATACCTGGATTCCGGTTCCTGCTGTGCAGCCAACCCGTTTCATCAGCATGCGCGAGAAGGATGCAAGGGCCCTGGGCGCCCATGTCGAAGCTTCTCGAGCGGGGCGCGGCCGACGGAATTGGCCAATTCAAGGGGCCAGAACTCGTGTACCGAGGAGCCGAGGATTCAATGGTACCCTTGGGAAGGGAGTCCATCCTTAACGTGCGGGCTGACTGCATGTGCACGGTCTGGCCGCATTTGCTACGGTCGTGCTGAAGTTAGAAGGGCAAAAACACATTATGGAAAGGGGGTCTTTGTTCTGCGGACGTGTCAGACCAAACCGCCTAGATCTATGATCCCTAATGCGAAGACGGGACCCTCAGTGAGGCCACGTCTTCAGTGTTATTAGGGTTAGGGGGTCGTGTATCCTACCTCCTCCCAAACTTGGTGAATCCTACCTCCTATCCTGCCCCTACTCATCCACCAACCTCCTCCCAAACTTGGTGGATCCTGGAAACGACCAGGCCGTCTTGTTATGTTCCGCTTTCCCGCTTCTGTTCCAACTGTGTACCCGCGACGTTGTGCTTCCGGTTATGGTTTAAATTGCGAGTGCGGCGACGTTTGTTGTTCCGTGTCGGTGAGCTCTTCTTTCGTACTTTCATACTGTGCAACAAGATTTGCGCCCAAAAAAACAATATGAATGGCTATACCGTGTACCAAGCTCCCAAGTGTTATTTCTCCTTTTCCTCCCACTCCTCCTCCTCCTCCTCTTCTTCATCATCACCATCAGCATCATTATCATCACCATCACCACCATCATCACCATCATCATCCTCATCATCATACAATGCCTCCGCCGCCTCCTCCTTACCACCAACACAACTAGCGTCATCCTCATAATCCTCCTCCTCATCATCATCATCAACATCATCATATCACCATCATCATCATCATCATCCTCCTCCTCCTCCTCCTCCTCCTCATCATCATCATCATCATCATCATCATCATCATCATCATCATCATCATCATCATCATCATCATCATCATCATCATCATCATCATCAACACGATCATTGACAACATGCCGCAATCTGCTCCTCCAGCTTCGCCTGCAACTCCTCATGATGGATATTCCTCAAACTGTTCCGATTCTTCTCTCTCCCAAAATCGTCCCTCCCCCCAGTTCCAGCATGTGGTGTCACGATTCCATCCTCTCTCATCCTCCTCCTCGCTCTCCGATTCCTCCATCCCAATTCATCCTTCCTCCCAGTCATCTTCCGTATGTTTCTTTAGCCTTGCCCTCGTCCTCGTCCTCATCCAACATACTCCCACATCTTCCCATAGCCCCCGCCACCTCTGCCTCATCATATCGGATCGGTTCGCTCCCTCTGTTCCCTGTTGCCCCTCGCCATATTCCTGCTGCTCCAGATCTCAGTGCTCCCACTGCTTACGCTCATTCCTGCTGCTACCGTTCCTCCTCGTCGTCGCGCTCCTCGTCCTGGCCCTGCCGCGGATCCTGCGAATTGCTTCTGCTCCTCCTCCTTGCCAAGCCCCACCTCACATCGGCCGCACGCAACGAGCAACCCTGGGTAACAGTGACCTTTGGTGCGCGGCTTTTGGGGGGGCCGCGGGGGGACCAACCACAAGCGCGCAAGGCGCTGCTATCGCATCGCGTTCGGCGATCGGGGGACCGACCGCAATGGAGCCCGCACCAAAGGCCACTCCTGCGAAGGGTCACTCTCACGTGTGGTCGATCCTGATACATGCTGCTGCTCTCGCTGCTGCTGCTGCTGCTCGTCCTCCCTGGCAGCCTGCTCCTGCCGCTGCCGCTGCCGCTCCCGCTCCTGCTCCACGTCGGCTGCAAGCCCGCTGTCCTCTCCCCTCCTCCCATCATTGCTGCCGACCCCGCCACCAGGATTCAAAAAGCTCCCCGCCCTTGCCCCTGAAACTGCTAATCCTGATGATTCTCCTCCCTCTCCCGCTCCGCCCCTTCCCCCAACCCCCTGCCAGCCTCCCAGTACGACGCCCATGGGCACCAGAAGGTAACCGAGCTCCCCATACGACCCCTCAGCCAACGAAGACGGCCGCAGGGGTGGGGAACGACACGTGGACCTACCAACTTCTGCACCGACCTCGCTGGCGTAGCAATGACCATCCACACTGTCTTCCTCTGCCGGTTCAACTGCCACAACGGTGCACCTCATCTGGTAGTACGTGCAACGCTGCTCTTCCTGGTGCCCGTGCACCTGCCAGCGTCGGGCGATGGAACAGCGACGGACTGCCTTTTACAATGCCTCGGTTGCAAGCCGCCGCGACTATCAGATCGGTATGAAACTTTGCTGCTGCCACGCCCATTCCCACTAGTCGTACCATCGATGTTACTTCCCACTGACAAGAGTGAAGTGCAGTTGTTACTACAGCACATGCGATATAACAAGCATGACGCCACTACTCGCACTGCTAAAGCGCTACCCTACTTCGAACGTCTAATACTACTACTAGAACCATCGTGCGCGCTTCGCGCGTGCTAGCCCAGCTCGGGGGGGCGCTGGAAGATCTTGGGCAGCGCTATCACGCACAGGCGCGTGACATAGTCGTGCCTCCAGAGGGCCTCTTGGGGACCTCTTGGGTCTTCGTGGGGACATCTGAAAGGCTTCTGGGGGGTGTTCCGTGCTTCCTCAATTGGCTGTTGGAGGCACCTCTTGGGTGCTTCTTAGGGGGGGCGTCTTGGGGCTTCGGGGTCCCTTGGGAGCATCGTCGGGGTTCTCTGGGCAGTCGGAAGATCATGTTCTGCAATCTGAAACCGTCATTGGCCGTCTTGGCTGCGTGGAGGCCCGACTTGAGGGCGCCCGGGGCCACACTTGAGGCAATCCGGAAGCCTCCCGGGGGCCTCCTGCAGACAGTTTTGATGCATCGAGGGCACTGTTGGGCAATCTTTGGGCCCCTTGTACGTCTCCCTTGGGGCCTTTTGGGGGCCACTTGAGAGGCTTATGGGGGCCTCGTCGGACCACTTGGGGACTCCTGGGGCCTTCTCTGGGTCTCATAGTGCAGAAGACTCTGCTGTTGGGTTCGCGTTCCCATTCTGGGGCCTCTCTTGAGACCGTCTTGGGGCCCTCTCGGGCCGTCTTGGGCGCCTCAGGCACCGCCTTGGGGCCTCGTGGGCCGTCTTGAGGCCCTCTTGGAAGACTCTTCGGCTATCGTGGAGCGGTCTTGGGGGCCTCTTGGGCCGCTTGGAGCGTCGGGATACGAAAGACTGAAGCGCTACAATGTACCAAAAACCAGAGGAACATCCGAGATTTTGGCTTCGTGGGGCCCTTTTGGGAGTGCGGGCCATCCGGAGGCTAACCGCATGCCGATGATAATAAAGGGACCCCCCCCCCTTCAGTGTTTAGAGTTGATTATCGTCGCCCTATACAAAATTCAAATTGGGCGGCGAGCGCTGAGGCCGAACTTCATTATCACCTCGAAACGCTATGTTGAGATAGCAACATCAAGCGATGTTGATATAGCAACATCAAGCGAAGCGATCACACTTTTTCAGGATGTGTCAAGCGAAACCAATAATTTTGGGAGGCAGACTCAAACGAAACGAGCAATGTTCTTATTATTCTTCTACTTTCCTCTTCTTCTTTTATATTTCTATCTGTCCTCACGCTCGCCTGAACTTTTTTATCCCTGGGGTTGATTATCCATGGAAAATGAAGCACATGAGCTACCCTACACGAGCACTTAAAAAAATCAATTTTCATAAAGCGTTTGTAAATTAAAATTGATAGATTTGGAACTTTGGATTTTTCCTTTCTTCGTCCTCTTCTTATTCTCCTCTTCTTCTTCTTTCTTATTATTCTTCTACTGTATTCTTCTTCTTTTATATTTCTCTCTGTCCCCACGCTCGCCTGAACTTTTTTATCTCTGGGGTTGATTATCCATGGAAATTGAGGCACATGAGCTACCCTACACGAGCACTTACAAAAACACAATGTTCATGAGAGATAAGCCATGGTTGAGGATATTTCTATGAAAAATAAACGCCAAGGATGTCTCAAAACGTGCTCGGCTTGGTCTCCTCTTGATCATCTCTTACTTCGAGATTATGCTGAGGTCTGCTGGGCTACTTTTATTATCTCTCCCTGAACCCCGAACTTTATTATCCCCTAGTGTTTATTCTCACGGGCATGAGGTTATCTTGGGCGTGTTAGAGCGATAATTCCGCGATAGTAGGCCTCCTTGAGGCCTCTCGCATAGTAAGCCTCCTGGAGGCCTCTCGCGGCCCTTTTCTTCTGTGTTGGGGCTGTCTTGGGCGGTCTGGCAGCGTCCCTGGCGCCCCGACACCACCATGGCGCGTCGGGGGCCTCCCCACCTCGATCCAGGGATCTCTCTCTCTCTCTCTCTTTCTCTCTCTCGATATATATATATATACACATATACATATATACATATATATATATCATACATATATATAGAGAGAGGGATGTGACTATATATATGTATGTATATATAGTTGCATCTATGTATTGAAGTGTGTATTTATTCATATGTATATATATGTGTATATATAGACATATGTGTATATATAAACATCTATATATACATATATATATATATATATATATGTATTCCTCTTTCTATATTTCTATAAACCCGGGCGGCCCCCCCCCCAAAAAAAAGACTCCCGGGATCTGGGGCTTTGGGACCATCCGGACGGGCCTCGAAGCGGCCCCCCGTGCCTCGCAAGGAGCTTCGGCGCGCTTCCGAAACGACCCCAAAGAGCCCCAATACGGTCCACGACGACGCCCACGAAGCCGTCATACCCCCAAAGATCGCTCCGAAACGCCCCAAGAGGCCTCCAAGAGCACTCCCAAAAAGAACCCAAGAGGCAAACACCTGTGATTTTCAAATGGTTGTTGCTGAATTTGGGGTTATCCTCTTTTCGGCTTCCCGACGCTCCAAGACGGCGGTCTTCTGGGCGTCCGAAGCCGCCTGGGAGGCTCCAAAATCGCCCCACAACTATCCGAAAGGGCTTCCAGGCAGTCCAATACAGCCCCAAAACGGTACAACAGTGGTCCAAGATGGCCCTGAGTGAGCCCCATGGCGGCCCAAGATGGGCCGAAGACACGCTCTGAAGCATTCCAAATCGAAACCCAGTCATTCAGGGAGACCGCGGTTGGAGGCAGGGTGGCCCGAGGAAGCCCCCAGAGGACCCCAGAACACGCCCAGGAGGCCTCCAAAAGGCCTTGAGAAAGTCTGAAAACTTGTGTGAGGCCCCCAGAGGCTCTCCAAGGAGGAGCCTCCGCCCCCCAAAAATGAGGAGGATGGGAGAATGCGCAGGGTACGGCGAGAATGAAGAAACAGAAGCATGGAGGATGGATAATTGAATAACATTATGATAACGACAATGCCAGAAAAGGCAACAAGGAATTATCGCTAAATTGCCGGCGTGACCTTCCTGCCATCCTGCCTGCATGCCGAACTTTAAGAACCAAGGTGCATGGCGCGAAGCGCCAATGCAGTCTTATATATATATATATATATATATACATATAGATACATATCAATTTATTCTACATACATATGTCTATATGTGTGTCTTCGGGGGCCTCTCAGAAAGTGTGTTGAAGCCTCTTGGAGCCTCTTTTGGGCTTCTTGGGGTCCTCTTGGGGCCTCTTGAAGCCTCTTGGGGGCCTCTTGGGGGCCTTCTGGGGGCCTCTTGGGGGCTTCCTGGGGGCCTCTTGGATCTTGGGGCGGAGAGCTTGATTTTTCAGTTCGCGTTCCCTCTCTTGGGCCCCTCTTGGGGCCTTCTTAGGACCCTCTTGCGCCGTCTTGGGCGGCTCTGGGGCCGTCTCGGGGCTCTCTTGGGCCGTCTTGGGGCCCTCTTGGGGGCCTCTTGGTCCGTCTTGGAGCGGTTTGGGGCGCCTCTTGAGCGGTGCTTTAGCGCCAAAAACACGAAACAGTGAGAATGCAAAATAGCATTGACAAAAACCAATGAAAATCAACGATGTTGCCCTCTCGGGGCGCTCTTGGGCGGCATATCTTAAAGGCCTCTTGGGGCGTCTTGGGGACCTCCGGGGCAGTTTACAACGCATCGTGCGTTGCCAGAGACCCCTGGACCGCGTCTTGAGGGTGTCTTGAGACCGTCTGGGGCCGCCGGGATTGCTGTCTGAGGGCTCCCCGGGGCGATTTCAGGCCTCCCAGAGGCGGGCCCGGGCCCCGTCACCCACATGTGCGGTCGAAAGTCCGGCCCTCGGCCCCCGAGTCTGGTGCGCCGTTATATGTATACGAAGGCTGTTACCATGGGCAACTGCGACTACGACTGTTACAACTACCATGGTCACGACCAATACGACTTACGCGGGGCGAAATACTGCAGCGGCGATAAGGAGGACGAGGAGAAGCGAGGGGGCTGTCCTGCGTTCACAGCAACACGAGAAAACGCGGCGTCGAGCTGCTGTCTAAATGACAACTTGTACAGCGCATGAGCTCAACATGCTCGAAGCAGGCTCTGATTGGAGTGCATAGGCCGATCTGACTGGACAACGCCCAGACCGAGGCCCTCGTGAGCACGACCAAAAAAACGGAACATGGAAATGGTGAGGACACGCCATGGAACTGTATGCAGGTAAGCTGAGAGATAGAACGGCGAATGGAACGGATGGAGATAAGCGGAAGGGCAATTCACCACCCCACGGAACGATGCCCACACATATGATGTGAGTCTACACAGCCGTGTTCAAAAAGCAGGACCAGCACATCCGTGATAAAAACAGTTCGAACAAACTGAAGGACACCTCCAATAGAGCCTCAGCTCAGGCAGCCAAGCAGATTTTAAGAAAAAACAGCTCGCTGATGCCATTGTCTGTTGGGGCGCAGTGTTAGCGATGCTCGTGTCACGCCAGAGTCGGAGGCCGCATGCGGGAGTCGGAGCCCACACGGCCCAACCCACAATGAAGCACAATCCGATCCGCAAAAAGACAACGCGGGAGCAAACGGAGAGGAGGAGGAGGAGGAGGAGGAGGAGGAGGAGGAGGAGGAGGAGGAGGAGGAGGAGGACGAGGAAGAGCGAGGGGGCTGTCCTGCGTTCGCAGCAACGCGAGACAACGCAGTGTCGAGCTGCTGTCTATGACAACTGAACGAAACTGAAGGACACCTCCAATAAACTGACGAACAATAGAGCACAAAAATGGCATCTACTTTGCGAGGTCCACGTAGCAGATACAATTGCTAGTACAGCACAGCGCCAGACAGGAGGAAGGGAGAAGATCATCACTTGACATCGACCGCAATGTATGCCATCGATCTCCTCGGGATACTTTGACACCCAACCCGTAGATGAGCGGTGAAGGTCAAGGGGAGTTCCTCATCATCAGCGCGTGCCGCTCTCCGCCTTCACCTCCTGCACACTCGATTTGTGCAGCCGAACGTCCACCTCTGGGCGAAGTACGGATGGAGCTCAGTTGGAGGCCTGGAAATTGTCATCTACACCAGCCCAGGGGCTTGCCTCCACGGGGGAAAGACGATCCTAGATTTCGGTGTTGGTGGCAATATTTCGGCCACCCTGGAAGCCAGAATATTACCACCATCACTGAGATCGGGATCGTCTTCCCTCAGCGGAGACACACCGCCGATCTTGGTGTTGGTGTCAACCTCTAGGCCTGAGCCTGCGACTCCGGGTTCTTCGTGCGACGCAGCCGCCTCGCACTCCACCTCCTGGCGCTCTCCTCGTAGCCCTGTAGCTGTGCCGGCACGACCTCGAGGACGGGCGCGGCGGGCCCAGCCCTGGCCCGCCGCGACCTGCTCCGCTCGGCAACGAACTCGAGGGCGCCACCGGGGGTGATGACATTTACAAGCGCCTGGCCCTTCGTAGGCCGAGCGTGAAAGTCGGTTGGTACGCAGGCGAAGTCATAGCGGTTCGCGACACACACACACACACACCTGCTGATAGCAAGCCACCCTAACTCTGGAGTGGTGCCAGAAGAAAGTCCAAACCGAGGTCCACCTCGATGGCCCTGCGTGAAAATGGAACTATCAGGGGGCCGCCCCGTTCTCCATGCGCAAGTGGGTCCTCGACAAGGCGTCGGACAAGATGTGAAACGTAAAAAGAAATCCACCAGCTCGTCGAACGAGAAGCCGATGGACCGGTTCATGAGGACCAGAAAGTCACCCTGCGTCAGCGTCTATGTTTGGATAAGTCGTGGGGGTGCTCCGACTAGTGGCACTGGTGAAACTGCATATTCCAGGTGGGGCGCAGAAGCCGCGAGCGTCGCAAGTGGCGTTGGGGATGCCACTGTGGACCCGCTGAGATGTTCCCCGACGCGTTGGCGAGTTCATCGTTGTAGAGGAAGCGCAAGCTGTCGAAGATGATGCGGTCCAGTCGCCTGGATTAAAACGTGTCATATTTGACACTCAACCGCTTCAGCCAAAATGACTTGAGCCAAACGTGGTATACTTGACACTCAACCGCTCAGCCGCTTGGCTCGCTGATGCCATTTGATAGCAAGAGTGTAAGACGACGTGAAATTCTGATGTGTGGAAAAAAAAAACGCAAGCCATACCCACAACATCTGACATCGGATCCGCACGGACGGAAAACCCGACCCACCGCAGCAAGAATCCAAACCACTTGGGTCCGCAAATGTTAATCTCATGCGCGCTGACGCAAGAGTTGAAGGCGTCAGATCTGGGCCCAAGAAGAAAACACTCTCGTCCTGGGGATGGGCGTTTTTGCACTCGGACTTGTTTGTTGTCGCAGGGCCGACATACCACATCTCACCTCCATTGCCCCGCGACGCGCAGTCAGGATATCTCGTTCGAGACGTCCTCTCAAGTTCGCGCCGTGGATTCGGAATCGTGGTGGGCCACGCCAGAGCCCGCCAAAAAGGGGAATCACCCCTCCTCATCCAGCGTTGCACTGGACTCCAGATCGTGCTGGGGCATGCTGGCGCCCGTAACTGAAGCCATGGGGCTGGAAGAGATGGGGCTCCCGCTCGAGAAGTCCTTGCAAAAAGACAATTCCCTTGCACTCGGGGTCGCGTTCCGCCGTGCCAGAGATTGGCATGCAGGGGAACACCTCCTTGTCAACGACCCCTGTCTTGCACTCGGCATCGCGACGGGCTGCGCTAGAGACGCCGGACAGGAAATGCCCCCCCCCCGTCCAGGATCTTCCCCACTGCGGGGGGGCAGGTGAAGGATGGGAATGATGCGGAGGAGCATCAACTCGCCATCGCTCGGACGTCCATTCCGTGTGCTTTCTTCGGTTTCGTGCGTGTTTTTTTCGCCAAATGATCAAGGATGCTCCTCGATGGTTCTCGCCGAAAGAAAATGCACACGTCCGAGCGATGCCGAGTCAACGGCATATGCATAAAAACTTTTGGCGGTCCGCGCCGAGCTGGAGCCGCGGCGCCGGAAAGGCGCCGACAGGGGGGTTCACAGCGCAGAGCCAAGAAACCCGCGCGGACCGCCAAGAGTTTCCGTCTATGCAGTTTGTTCCTCCGTCGATGATGGGGAGGGGAGGGGGGGGGCCCGCCTTTTCTCGGGCGTTGGCAGAACTGGGTTTCGTGGAACCTGGTTTGATGATGTGTACTGTGGGAAGCCCCCCCACGCCCCGTTCCACTAACCGGAACTGCCGTCACCCGAAAAACACCAACTACGGCAAACCCGGTTTAGTGATTCTGGCCAATTCAAAGGCCCTGGGGCCCTACCGCTAACCGGGTCCCCTTACCTGGCGTCCTGGCTATACCAGCCTTTTCCCAGGTAGAATCCTACAGCGGCGGGCCTGGGTGCCGCGGATCTGACTTCACGCGGCTCGTGGATTCAAATCTAGTGGTGTCCGCCGACCCCGCTTGCCGGGGGGGTGAAAAGGCGTGTGGGACATTTGGCTGTCCCAGTCCCCCTTTCCCGTTCCCCTTGAGTCAAAAATCGCGTTTGGGAGGGGTCCATGGGCTCCTCACTGCGGAGCCTCCAAATCTACATCCCGTGCCTTCCAAGACACCCAAGATGCCACCTCAGCCGGCCTCCAATATGCCGAAGAGATATCATCAACAATCAAGATGGCTTCCAGACCGCCCGCGCGGCCTCAGAAACGCACTGATCGAGCTCCATCGGGACCCCTACGAAGGCCCGAAGAGACCAGCATCGTCCCAATCCCTTGGGGAAGCGTACTTTTTGAGAGTGCTCAACTGATGGGTCTTCACGGCTTCCATGACTGCTCCACACGCCCTCCATATCGTTCCAAGACAACAGAAGAAATCCCAAAAGAAGCCCCGATCCGGCCCCAGAGAGCCCTAAGACGGCCCAGGAGTCAACCACGACGACCCCAAACGGCTCCCACATAGCCCCTAGCGGTGCTCAAGAAGACCAACCAACCCCGCTGACGTGTCGGGCTGTCTGGCCCACGGCGCCCCGACCGCCAACAGGAGCCCAAGGAAGCCCCCGCAAAGCCCGAGCGAGGCCCCCAAAGTGCCCAAGTAAAGCCCCAGAATCCCCCAGAAACCTCCACAAGCCGACAACAAGGTCTCATGCGACAGTGGTGCTCCGCCTCCTCCTCCTCCTCCTCCTCCTCCTCCTCATCCACTTCCTCCTCCTTTTCCTCATGTCATCCCCCTCGCCCTCCACCTCCCAGCTTGTCCTCCAGTTCATCCACCTCCTCCTCATCATCTTACCCCTCCCCTTGCTCCAGCTTCTCGCCCTCATCACTTTGTTCTGCTTCATCATATGGCCCGTCGCTGCTTTCCACGGCATCGCTCTTACACGCCTCTCCAATCTCCAGAACATCGACTTGTTTTACACTCCTTCGGCTCCACGATGCCCGAAATGCCTTCGCAGCTCGCAGAAAGCTGGGATCCACGATGTGCCTTCGGATCCACACACGGCACCGATGACGTGAAGCTTCCAGCACGCCCAGACAAGGTTCGGCCCCAGAGATTCCAAGAGACGCCCAAGACGGCCCAAAGGTGTCCAACAGAGTTTCCAGAGGGGCCCCTGAGGAGGAATTCTGACTTCGGCGGCGAGCGAGGGGGGGGAAGTGAGACGGAGAAGGTTTTCAAAGGCGGCGGGACCTCTCAGACAACCCCGCGCCTTCTGAGAAATTCTCGCTGTCTTCGGGATAAGGCTTAGAAAGAACTTCTCGGAAGGCCGGGGGACTTCCGAGCCTACTGCCCCCCCCTTTTTACTCGCCGCCGATGGCTGCCATTCGGAGCCCTCTCCGCACCAAGAAATGCCGCCCGAGACCACCAGCAGGCGATCCACGGACCCGCAAAGGGGCTCTCCAGTAGACTCCCAGGTTGAAGGCCTGGAAATGGGCACCAACACCAAGACATGGGGGCTGCCTCCACAGGGGGAAGATGATCCTAGATTTCGGTGCTGGTGGAAATATTTCGGCCACCTTGGAAGCCAGAATATTCCCACCATCACCGAGATCGGGATCTTCTTCCCCCGGTGGAGGAACACCGCCGATATTGGTGTTGGTGTCAACTTCTAGGCTTAAGTCGGGCGTGTCCCCCTACAGGGGGATTTTCGACGAAAAGTAAAAATACTAAAAAAATACTCACCAATGGTTAAAAATATTATCAAAAAATAGTCCCCCCACTATTGTTTGACTATGTTTGAATACTCCTCATGTAGAGGGACGGGCCCGCCTTAATTCTAGGCCTGCGACCAAGAGAGACCCCGAAGAGGCCCAACAGCAAATGTTGTCCCAAACCAACAGCGGCCGCTGTTGCGCAGGCGGCCTTCCGTCTCAAGGGGACACCCGCCGCGGCTGCGCGGACAGCGAGCCCTGGTCAGAGTGAACGGGAACTGCTGTTGGGCATTGTGTCCCTTCCCTCCGTACCCGTTTCGTTCGTGCAGATTGGTGTTGCTGTCAAATTCTAGGCCTGCGACCAAGATGAAGGGGCTCCAGGACACACAAATAGATACAAACAAATAAAAAGATGCCCAACATTTTCCAATATTTTCTGGGTTTCTGTCGTTCCCCCCACCTCCCATATTTTCGCATATTTTCTAGGAAACGACGAATCATTGTGTCTGTGTTTTTCCCTCCTGACAAGAGAGACCCCGAAGAGGCCCTGACGGGCCCCTTGTCGCAGCCTGCTCCCAAGAGGCAGCGAGGCCCAACCCGTGGACACACACTTCGGTTCTCCTCCCGGGGGGATGGGCGGGATGGCGTAAGCTAACGATTACCTCTACTTGCCGTCGCTCGGACGCCCATGCCCTGTGCGCTATTCGGTGTTGTGCGTGTCTCTCCTGCTCGGTTTTGTGCGTGTTACGTATGCATCGGATCCGCGCGGGCGGAACTCGGATTTACCGCAACAAGAATCAAAACCAATGTTGGAACCGTGCACATGTAATTTGATTCATCAAAGAGTGTGCCATCCGCACTGGCGCAAGAATTGAATGCATCATGTCTGGGCCCAAACGGAAGAAACGTTCGTTCTGGGGATGCAGTGACGATACCGTTACAACCACCACTGCAGGTACCCCTACAACAACAACTGCCACCATCACAACTGCTGCGACTACACGACTGCTGAGACTACGTGGCTGTATAGCTGTGGCGGCTCAAGCCGCTGCTGCTACTACGCATACCCCTACCACTGAATACTGATGGTGTTACTGATACGGCTACCGACTGCTACTGCCGCTGCTGCTGCCACTACGACAACCACCGCCTACGACTACACGGCATGGGTCAGGTGAGAGGCCATCCCCAGAAGCCTCCTGATGCCCTCCCAGGAGGCCTCTGGAGGCGTCTGGACGCCAATCAAATACCAAACTACGAGAAGGTTTAACAACAGAATTCGCCCTCGTATAGGAACGGCAACCAGCATAAGCATAACATGTCGGAGCTGCGGGCGGCCTTCTTGCATCGCCGCCAGGGGCCAAACGCCGACCCAAGAGAAATCCGCGCGGAGCTATGACAGTTGATGGTTGTTTGTTGTTCTTCTTCGACCTCGACCCTCGAGTCTCTATCCTGAGGGGCAACGATCGGGTGGACTGGCAGGGGGGGCATCGACCTGGACTCGGCAATGCCTCGCCGATAGATCGGCGACGGGCCTCCGACAGTGAACCCGCACGTGCAAGGGCAGGCTGGAGCTGTCGGGTCCTTGTCGTCGATGAAGGGGCGATTGGGGGCCGATGCCTCCCCACTACATCACCGTGACCACAGTTTCTTCCAATATGCCTTCGCATATAGCGCACCAGCGCGGGAAGGTTCGGAATCTAAGTACTGCAGCTGCTCCGCGAGTGGGCGCACCCCGCTCGAGAACGCATGGGGTTCGGAGCGGAGCAGCTCCCAAGTTGGTTTTGGGGCAACAGGGTCATCAGCAGCAAGCGGATCGGGAAACTACTCCGCCGGATTACACAGTCATCATGCCATCTTAGGACTCGTTACTGAAGAAACTGTTGTCCCGGCTGTGCGTATCCCCAATCGTTGCCCCTGATATCGTCGGCGGCGAGCGGCGCTGCGTTACGCTCAAGTCGGGCCTGTCCCCCTACGGGTTTTTTTCGACGAAAAATAAAACATACCCCAAAGATATTCCAAACATGAACAACAAATAGTCGGAGGACCAGTTGTTAAGTATGTTTTGACCTTTTTGAGGGTATGTTTGGGGGGATCTTTTATCTTTCGTCGGAAATCCCCCTGTCATGCGGGATGACGATTCATAAAAGAAGGAGAGAACGACTGAAACATAGTCTTCTGCTATTTCTGCACAATTTTCTGACTGGAGGGGAACGATAAAACATAGTTTTCCAGCCCGCGGCCGGTTTTTTCTAATCGTCATCCCGGGCGCCGCCGCGTGAACACGACCCCCGGTCATATATTAATCGTCATCCTCCATTAGGGGGACAGGCCCGACCTGACGTCACGCCCGTGGCCGCGCCTGGATCCGCAGGGCGGCGCCGCCGCCGTCGGAGGCCCGCTGGCTCGAGCCGCGCAGGCCGAGGCCCTCGAGGAAGGCCGCCGGGTCCTGGGGCGACGGGCGCTGGAGGAGGAGGAGGAGGAGGAGGAGGAGGAGGAGGAGGAGGAGGAGGAGGAGGAGGAGGAGGGGGGAGGGGGAAGAGGGGGAGGAGGAGAGGGAGGAGGGGGAGGGGGAGGGGGGAGGAGGAGGAGGAGGAGGAGGAGGAGGAGGAGGAGGGAGGAGGAGGAGGAGGAGGAGGAGGAGGAGAGGAGGAGGAGGAGGAGGAGGAGGGGGGGAGGAGGGCGGAGGAGGAGGAGGAGAAGGAAAAAGGAGGAGGAGCGGCCAGGTGTGGCCAGAGTACTTCCCAGGAAGGCGACGACGACGACGACGTCGACGACGACGGCGACCGCGACGACGACGACGACCGCGACAGCGACGACGACGGCGACCGCGACGACGCCGACGGCGGTGGCGGGTGGCGGCGGCAGCGGCGGCGGCGACGACGCCGACATGAACCGGCCAGGTAATTCATGTCTGATGGCCCCAGAGCCTGACAAACTGGGACCATGCAGAAGCCGAAACCGGGGAAGGACGCCTGAAGCGAACAGATCACGACTCGAAGCCTCATCGGCCTCCTCCTCCTCCTCCTCCTCCCCTCCTCCTCCTCCTACTCCTCCTCCTCCTCCTCCTCCTCCTCCTCCTCCTCCTCCTCCTCCTCCTCCTCCTCCTCCTCCTCCTCCTCCTCCTCCTCCTCCTCCTCCTCCTCCTCCTCCTCCTCCTCCTCCTCCTCCCCCTCCACCTCCCCTCTCCTCTCCTCCTCCTCCTCCTCCTCCTCCTCCTCCTACTCCTCCTCCTGCTCCCAACATCCACATCACCAGCCGCTCTCACCACCACCACCACCACCACCACCACCACCATCGCCGCCGCGCCTCGCCCCTCGCAAGGACCCCCACCCCAACCTGCCGGGGCGGCCCCCCGCGCGGGTCCTGGCGCGCCGCGTGCCGGGCGGCCTCGGCCTGGCTGGCGGCCTCGGCCCGCAGCTGCTGCTGCTGCCGCTCGAGGGCGCCCCGCTGCCGAGCCTCGGAGACGGACGTTCGCCTCCTCGAGACCGCACATGGACATTACATTCGAACCCTGTGGCCCAAGATGCCCCCCAGACCCCCCGAAAATAATATTGATGGCGTGGCGACGGGGGGGGCGTGAGTGGACAGAAATATCCGAACCCCAGAGCACCGCCTTTACTGAGATCAACACTGAGGTCGGGGGCGCGGGGTTGATTCAGAATCTCCCTCGAATGTGTAAGAGTTCGAATACGTTGTCCATCTGCTGGAGGGCAGAAAGTTCACCCTCAGAACTTGCCGTCTCGGCCGTCCCTTCCCCGTGCAAATTGCTCGGCTCCGTGCGCGTGCTTCTGTTGCTGGAGGATACAGGGTGCTCCTCGGTGGCCCTCGGCGGGGAAGAGCGCACACGTCCGAGCGACGCCAAGCCCAAGGAAGGAACCGACCAGGGCAGGGCTGTTTAGTAAAGGCTCAGGGCCGTGTAGCAAACGCCACCAATCGGGGTCGGGGTGGTGTTTCCTCTCGGGCTCCGCTAAGAACTGACTGACAGAGGAGGAGAAGGAGCAGGAGGAGGAGGAGGAGGAAGGACGAGGAGGAGGAGGAGGAGGAGGAGGAGGAGGAGGAAGGATGAGGAGGAGGTGCTCCCTCCCCAGGGGAGAGCCACCCATAACTCACGCCCGCAACCAAGCTTAAGCCTTGGCAGTGAGCACACTTGCTAGCAGTGCCCCTGGGCCGAGGCGCCCCCAGGATTTCCGAGGACCCCCCACGAGTCACGAGGCCAAGAGGGCCCAAGGGGCTCTAAACCGAAAAGCTGGGGGCACCTGGGCCCAGAGGCACTTTCAGCAGCCCCCGAACAATTCGAGTCAGACGGCCGCCAGGCAAACCCAGAACGCCACACAAACAGACGTGGGATAGGAGAACTCGTGTAGAGAACCCTGGCCTGACACAAGAAGACACCAAGAGGTACCCGTGGCAATGATTGCCCGGGCGCGCCGTGCAGGGGTGAAGGCGGCCAGGTCATGCTCTAACGACCGAGCCTCGATCCTCGATCCTGGATCGATCGATCCCAGATCCTCGATCCTCCACCGATCGATCAAATCCTCACCCGGCCGATCCTCGAGCCTCGATCCTGGATCGGTCGATCCTCGGTTCCCGATCCTGGACTGATCGGTCGATCCTGGATCGATCGATCGAACAAAAAAAACAGACGACGGAAGGCTTATGAGCCAACTGCTCGGCCTCTGGTGGCCCTCGCCGCGCGCACCTGGGGCCGTCGAAGCAACAACGCTCAACATGTTTTTTTACCGGTTCCGTTTTGCCATTCTTTTGCCGGTTCCGACGCCGTTGTTTTACCGGTTCCGTCGCAGTTTTTTTGACCGGTTCCGGCTCCGATTCCAATCCTGGAGCCGTTTTTTGCCGTTTCCCGTCGCCGTTTTTTTGCCGTTTCCATTTGCAAGGGGTATTTTTTCGAAACGGTGAAAGAACGGCCCTGCCGTTTCCAGGGCCCACAAAGTTCTTGTCCACCAAGGAACGCGCGTCGAGACCTTCTGGGGGTCGACGCCGTGAACTCGTCATGGCGTCAGGGCTCTGGGAAGATCTCGCTCCAGTCATCTCGGGCGGGGTCGGAGCAGATGGGGTCATGTGGATTGCTGTTTCAATCTTCGTTCCTGGCCCGAAACAACGATCCGCACGAAATTCACTTCGAAATCCGGAACGACATTCTCCAGGACAATCTGGACCAATCCCAATGGTTTCCGAACGGAATCCGCTCTGCGATGTTGGCGCCATGAGAGCTGGAATCGGCGATACATGGAATCGGCGGTACAGCGCCGATGGATCGGCGACACAGTCGACCCGCATCATAAGGATGCGCGGCAAGGATGCGAGGGCACTGGAGGGCCATGCTAACGCTTTCCGAACAAGGCCGGCAAGCGAGAGGCGCTCAGGATGGGCCGAAGGGGCAAGGATGCAAGGGCACCCTTGGGAAGGTGACCCATCCTTCCTATGCGGGTCGACTGTACCTGGATGGATCGGCGATAGGCCCCCTATGGCGAAGCTATCGGCGCTGCATTGGCAAATCTATGCGGAGTCCCTGCCGCGAACACAGTCGGGCCCGGAATGACAAGGGGGCCTGGCTCAAGGCCAGAAACATCGGCGTGGAATCGGCGAGACGTCGCCGATAGACCCGCGAGAGGCCCCCGACTGCGAGAAAGCGGTGGCCAGCGAATCGCTCAGCTCGCGCAGCTGGGCCTTCGGGCGCCTCCTGGCGCCAGGGTCGCCGATCGTGTCGAGAAGAGCGCCTGGCTGCGGGGCCGACACACGCAGCAGGTGTCGCACCACCTTTTTGCCCGAACGCCGAGGGTGGACAGATACCACCTTTCAGCGAAATGACATTGACTTCGTCGGCTCATCAATAGAATTCTGAAGGATGGGGTCCTGAGGACGAGGTGCCTCGAACAACGTGAATCCACACACCCCGGATCCCTTCCTATCCCTTGGGTCCCCATCCCTCAGGACCCAATCTTTGAGCCACCGATGACTGAAAAAGGCCTCGGGACCAAAGCCCCGTCGGCGCGGGCCCGCAAAAGTGTCAGCAGCACCGCCCTCTCGAGAAGCGCCCCGACGCGCGGAGATGCCCATCGACTGGGCATGGCGTGGCGTTGTGTCATCCATCCTCCCAAGAGTCGGGGATGTTTTGACCTGGGTCAATCCACAAGGGCTCCAACCCCGCGCTTCGCGCTGCGCGAAGCGCGACGTGCGAATAACTTAGCGCTCTCGCGCCGCCCCCCATGGAAGAAGAGGAGGCTGAGGAGGAATCGGAGCCGAAGCGCGAAGCGCGAATAGCTTCGCGCCCTCGAGGGCGCCCTTGACCCAGACCCTGGCCAGTCGGGCCTTGCAGGATCCTGCAAAACCCTGCAGGATCGTGCACCCTGACCCGGGCCACTGCGCCCCTGGCCCTGCAGGATCCCGCAAGACCCGGCGCTCTGACCGACCCCCGCAAGCATGGAACCCCGCCTCTGGAGGCCCCCGGCTCCAGAGCCCATCCCCCCCTCGCCCAGGAGGGCCGAGGGGGGAGGGGCCAGGGACCAGCTGGGTCCACCGCGGCGAAGCGAACGACGGCCGCGAGGTCGGCCAGGCAAAGGGGGGAGGAGGGGGGGGGGAGGAGGAGGAGGAGGAGGAGGAGGAGGAGGAGGAGAGGAGGAGGAGGAGGAGGAGGAGGAGGAGGAGGAGGAGGAGGAGGAGGAGGAGGAGTAGGAGGAGGAGGGGGAGGAGGAGAAGGTTGTTGTGTTGTGGAGCGACCTAAAGACAGTGGGGACAAAACTAAAAAAAACTCTCCTTCCGAATCGGAGGCCTCCTCTTCCTCGGGATCCTGGGGAGGTCGCCGCGCCGCCCCGCCTAGCGACCTGATCTCGTCTAGGTCGCACTCCTGCAGGCCGAAAGCCTCCAGCACGGCCTCTCGGGAGGCGTAGCCGAGCCTCGCAAGGCCTAGGATCCCTGCGGCAGGAGAGGGCCAGGAAGAACAGCGCACGCTCATGAGATCCCTCTCCGCCTCCGAGAGCCCACGCGGCTGGGAGACGGCAACATTCTTAGACGAGGCCCTTCCATGGGGGTGCTTACCGTCATGAATTCTCTTGAGCTGGTGCCTTACTTGAGCTGACCGAGGCCGATGGCTACACCCTGCTCTGAGCAGGTCCCCTGGCCTGTAGTCCTCACAGTATGCACCACACTTCACACAAAATACAATGGGCATCCCCGCACGGACAGGACTCTCGATCTCACAGCGCATCAGTCAGGGCATGGCCTTGCACAAAGAACGCAGAGGTGGCCACGCCGGCCCAGTCGAACCCTTCCGCCCCACCTAACCCCAGCTCCACCCCGTCCTCGCCCTCAGACACGTCGATCTCTGTCTCGAGCAAGGGCGGATGCTCGTGGGTGTCGAGAGCAGCCTTTTCCAGCTGCTTCGAGCCCCGCAGTGTCAAGACGCTTGTCAGACTGACTCTGCAGGAGAACTTCTACATTGGCCGCCCACTTGGCCGACTCCTTGACTAGACACTTTAGACCTCTGTACAAATCCACATCTGCCTCGCGAAGATTGCGCTTGGCTGCACCCATCTTCGCATAAGAGTCGACCGAACCGTTGGCCTTCATTTCCCACAGGGTCGTCTTGCCACTGTGGACGTCTGTCATCGCGCAGTGCGCTGCCGTCTTGGTCGCCGCGAGGCACCCAGGAGAGAAACTCGACCAGAACGGGGCCCAGAGATGGGCCCTGGGCCCCCCAGCCGAGGCCCCAGCCCCCTGGCCACCCCAGAGGACTTCCAGGGTCCCTTGACAGCCACAGTAAAAATCAATTGGCGCCATAGCACATTGGGTAAACATATGCACTGCACAGTCCTCTCCATCTTTAGCCGACAGTCTCGGCCCATGGGAGAAAGGCACTGGCCCATAGCAGGCAGCTACAACGTTGCCCAGGGGATCGGCCTGGACTAAATAAAGCCCAACCAGCACTCGAAAGCCCAGGGATCCCTGGCCAGAGAGCAGACCCGTCCGAGAAAATTAAGCCACTGAGTCGGCCTGACTCAGGCCTGTTGATCCAGAACACTGTCTGATCGGGCTCCTGGGCAGGAAAAAGAACCATCGGCGAAGGGGAGATCGCGCGCGCAAATCTCTCAGCGAGCTCATCCCCTCCTTCGCACACACGGGCAGCCCTGCTGGCTAGCTGCGGCGAGACCATGTCCCTCCTGAGTGCCGCGTGGGCCGAGCATCGATGTTGCCGATGAAACAAGCTACCCGCCTCCTCCTGACAACTCCTGCACTTGCATCAACTGTGGTACCCATACTTGTGCACCCTGGCCGGAGGCCAATCCACATTGCTCAACAGGCTCCTCAGAGACCTCTGATGCCTGGGCTTCCAAGAGGAGGATCAGAGGAGAGGCTTCAAAGCATCCCAGAACAGAAGGTACCCTCGGAGGTCATCGCCTACCTGTATTAAAGCCTGCCTGTCAGACGCCCTGATGGCCGCA